TAGGGTGGAATGTTCTGTATATATCTATGAGGTCCATCTGGTCCAGTGTGTCATTCAAAGCTTTTGTTTCTTTGTTGATTTTTTCCTTAGATGATCTGTCTATTGCTGAGAGTGGAGTGTTGCGGTCTCCTACTATTAACGTATTATTATCAATATGTCTCTTTATTTTGGTTAAGAGTTGGCTTATGTAGTTGGCTGCTCCCATGTTGGGGACATAGATATTTACAATTGTTAGATCTTCTTGTTGGATAGACCCTTTAAGAATGATATAGTGCCCCTCTGGATCTCTTACTACCATCTTTAGCTTAAAATCTAATTTGTCTGATATGAGAATTGTTACCCCAGCTTTCTTTTGAGATCCGTTGGCATGAAAAATGGTTCTCCATCCCCTCACTTTCAGTCTGGATGTATCTTTAGGTTCAAAATGGGTCTCTTGTAGACAGCATATGGATGGGTCCTGTCTCTTTATCCAATCTACAACCCTGTGCCGTTTCATGGGAGCATTTAGGCTGTTCACGTTGAGAGTGATTATTGAAAGATATGATTTTATTGTCATCGTGTTGCCTGTGAAGTCCTTGTTTCTATAGATTGTCTCTGTAAAGTTCTGTTCTATATCACTTTTGGGGCCTTTCTCCTTTTATAGAACCCCCCTTAATATTTCTTGCAGGGCTGGATTGGTGGTCACATATTCTTTCAGTTTCTGCTGGTCTTGGAAGCTCCTTGTCTCTCCATCCATTCTGAACGACAGCCTTGCCAGATAAAGTATTCTTGGCTGCATGTTCTTCTCATTTAGTACCCTGATTATGTCTTGTCAGCCCTTTCTGGCTTTCCAGGTCTCTGTGGACAGGTCTGACGTTATTCTGATGTTCCTCCCTCTGTACGTAAGAAATCTCTTCCCCCTCGCCGCTTTCAAGCTTGTTTCCTTGGATCTAAGATTTGTGAATTGTACTATTATATGTCATGGTGTCAGTCTGCTCTTGTTGATCTTGGGAGGGATCCTCTCTGCCTCTTGGACACGAATGCTTGTTTCCTTCCCCAGATTAGGGACGTTCTTAGCTATGATTTGCTCAAATATATCTTCTAGACTTCTCTCTCTCCCCCCACCCCCAAGGGATACCAATAATTCTGATATTGGAATGTTTCTCTGAGTCATTAATCTCTCTCAATTTGATCCCTTGGGCTTTAATCTGTTTTTCCCATGCTGCCTTGGTTTCCTCTAGCTCACTAATTCGTTCTTCTGCCTCATTTACCCTAGCAGTCAGGGTATCCAGTTTAGACTGCATTTCATTCATAGTATTTTTAAGTTCAGCCTCATTAGATCTCATTTCTGCCCTTAGAGATTCTATACTGTCATTAATATTTTTCTTAAGCCTAGATATCGACTTCATATTTGTTACTCTGAAGTCTCTTTCTGACATCTTGCTTATATCCATATCCATTAGGTCTGTGGCAGAGGCCACAGTCTCTGATTCTTTTCTTTGTTGGGGGTTCCTCCTCTTAGTCATTCTGTTGAGGGGTGGTTGAGGGAATGTACAGAGTCCAAATTATTGACCACAACCCAAGCAAGATGCACCTGTTTTATAGGGATCTTAGGGTTGTTGGCCTCTTGTTCTCCCAGCCTGTCTTCTGGGGGAGGGGCCTACCGTGCTGTTACTCAGGCAACCGTGTTTGGGCAGAGTTGCCCTGCCCCCTGTGGGGGGGGTGGGATGGGCTCTGTGAAAACTGTTTTTTGGGGGCTTTTGTTCTCTGGCAGCTTTCCCTGGTGGTTTTCCGCGTCTCTTCCGAGAGTCAGCACAAGTGACCGTATCCAAACCTCTGTCTCAGAGCAGAGAGACCGCAGTCTGCTCTTCACTGAGCTCTCCAGGCCACACTGTCTCCCTTTCTGTCTGTGCTGCTAAAAAACCTCAGTGTCCTGGGTTGTGCGCCCCACAGCAGCACTCCAAGCCCTCACTCCCAGGGCCAGGCACATCTCTGCCCTTTGTGCTTCTAAAACCGCCAGCCGCCCCCAGTTTGTATTTGTGCCCCTGCAGCTCCTGGATCCCATCCGGGGGGCTGGACTAAAATCCTTTCCCTGCCACTACCGGTCTGCGAGTCTGCCCGGTCCCCAGCGCAGGAGGTTTTTGCACTCCGGTGTTCTCTCACCTTCCTGGCACAAGTTCTCAGAAACTCCCTCCCCCTTCAGTTTATCTTCCGATATCTGCCCGCAGAATCACGGCTGCCTGCTTTGTACCTCAAGACCAACTGCAGGAGATATTCTGCTTGTGGAGGTCCAGATATATCTTCTTACATCTCAGGCTGATTTTGTGG